GAGGAAGTTTATGAGCGAGTTTGAGGATGTTTCGTGGTCAAAATGGGAGAAAAAAGGGAGCCAAACCTAGGGATGGCAATATAACCCCATCTACGAATATCCTACCCGATCCAACCTAGTTAAAGCGGGTCAAACCCGTGTTAACGGATTACAGGTCGGATTTGGGTTTAAACCCGTTCTACTATTTTGCGAGGTGGATTGGATTCTGGTTTAGCCATATCCAACTCATTCCAACCCGTACCCGTATAATTTGTTCTTAATAATTATATAGAATGAAGTTGATATTATGGAGCGGAGAGTGAAGAAGTTTAGTTGACAACGAGGAAGAAGCTTTCAATTAATTATATTGTTTATGATGTTTATCTTTAATGCGGAAGAATTTGAATGGATAGTTTTTGGTTTGATTGTATGCTCTAGATTGGTGATTTTTTTACGAATAATTTGTACGGGAAGATTGATGTTGGACTTTTATTTTGACATGAAGTTATTGTGCATTTATTGAATCCATAGGTATCCATGAACACGCGGATATCCAGCAGATTGGGTTGGATTTGAGTTTTCCAAACTCATTGAGTTTTACCCTGTACTTTTTTTATGAATATACTCATGGATTTGGATTTGAGTTTGACAAAACTCAATCCAACTCGACCCATTAGCCAAAACAAATGTCATAGGCTAAAATTGAATGTCACAGGACAGGGTTTGACATCCATACATATCTCAAACGGTGAGATTTATGTAGCGAGGCAGAACCAGTTCTCAATGCATGTCACGGCCTGAACCCTTAATGTCATCATCGTGACATTGCCTCTGTTACGGATAAAAAGAGAATTTTTGCGAATTTAGAAAAGAGGGGATTGAATTTTTGGATCCCAAACACCCAACTGATTTACCATAGATGTCTCTCCTCGCTTTTGAGCTCGAAACCATAACTCACTCTAGTTTGCCTAATAAGTTATCATATCACAACCATTCTTGGTCAACTCAGCCCTTACTTTTTTTCTTGAATTCTAAGTATCTGGATTATTCGCCTTAATTTTCATGTCTTTGTTTGTACTTGTTGTGTTCCGATTTCTCATCACGAACATACTAAAATGTCATCGAAAACTGTTCATCGGTTCTTATTTAGTTAAAGTGCTGCCATAAGAGTTGTGTATGTTTTGAATTTTGATACCAGTATCCAGCCTTTCCTTGTTTCTTATGATGTCATGTTTCATGGCACCTCAATTTTTATCGAGAATTGTGAAATCGTACCCGAGTTTCTACATAAAAAAAGTCAGCAATAGCCAATAGTGTATTTTGTGTTGAAAGTTGAAACTATAGTTAAACAGAGGTTTAATCGTATGACACTACTAAAATCGCCTACCAATTTAACTTTTGAAAGAAGAATTTTCCAGCCGATACGCACTACAAAAACGAAGAGGTATAGAGACCAGCATTGGGAACGACCTTGTTATGTTGTCTTAGGAAATAGATTTTTAAGTTTTATTAGGGACAAGCAAACAAAATTGTCTCCAAATAATAATGAAAGTAATTTTATCAATTTATTTAGTTAGTTTAGCTGTCCCCCAAAAATACTCCAGCAGAAATATGAAATTGGGGGCATTTTTTTTCCTTCACCGGATTGAGGGGGATATTATTTTGGTCCCCAAAAATAGGATCCCGATCATGCATAAATATGATACGCATGTAATCATTATCGTTACAATTTTAAGGAAATTATAAGAATTAATAAAAGTAATTTCAAAAAATTTAATAACCAAAGATGGGCCACGTTTATGATTTATCATTAGAAGTGAATGGAGAGATAAATAGTTATTTTAACAGAAAAGGAAACGGAATACATTAAAGAAAACGTAAGGCTTTCTGTTCTCTTCTACTTCAAAACCCTACCACTATCCTCATATATTTTTTATATAGGCGGCCGCCCAAGTCCCAACTGACTGCATCTCGTCATCTCCTCTTTTTTCCTGCCAGGCTATTGTTACCCTAACCTTTATAATGTCAATGGCTATTGTTTCCTGCAAGATATACAGAGCTTTCCGATATCACGATGAGTATCAGGTTTTTCAAGTCTGCTGAACGGTGGGGTGAGCCGACGTCAAGTGCATCATAACCGCAAATATTAGCAGTTGCCGATGATTTTGGCGTGGATCCCCATTAGATGGGATACGGTTGTATAGATATCTTATCATCCAATTTTGTAGGTTTATTTGTAATCCATTCAACTACAATTTTATAACTGTATGTACTTCAATTTTTTGCCAATGTTCTTGGTTACAATGGAATGAAAAGTGGTGGGTTGCATAGTTTTATACGGTTTGTGCAATAATAAATAGTAGTGTGGGCCCCGGCCAGTTGGCCGGAGGAAGGTTAGATATGAAATTTGATAATGTAATGGGGTGTATAGCTTATTGTTGTATAGTTTTTTTGGGAAACACGTGATAAAAATAGTGAATTTTAGCAGGAAAGAGACATTAATGATGCAACAAATCAAAAATCGGCCTTATGAACCAAAATCAAGTACATGTTACAGTGTGAAACAATATTGTTTCTAGTAATATGATGAGGTGGAGTAAGTTTTATAGAAACCGAATTTCCGAAAATTGAATAAAAAATCGCCTATCCCGACGGTTTTCGGGAAATGAGCATCTCACAATCGTTGCTAGCTTTTACTCGGCCCGTTGGCCGATTAATTTGGTTTATAAAAACTTTCATCTTGTCGTCATTATGCTTTCTGTTTTTTTTTTTTTTCAGGCCATGATAAAATCTAAGGAAATCAAGAACGAACAACACGATTTGGGATAGGAACCGTCGTTGTCGTATCCCTAGAAAATGGTGGTAAACACGGACTCACCTGCCAAACTGGTTTGGATTGAGATTTTTATCGGGTATCAGGTAACCATGTGATTATAAATTAGACTTGATCAAAACAGGCCAAAACTTGAAATGCAACCTGTTTGACTGACCCATGCCAAATTCTAATTATTCTTTACTTTTAAACTTTCTATTTGAAAATAAAAAATAGTGAAAGAAAAGAGATGACTGCAATTTGCCATTTGCACATCACTTATTCGGGAATAAAACCATAGAAATTCAAAAGGAACTGAAAATGTTAGGATCGTTTTAATGTTTAAAATAACCAAATAGATCTTTCTGTTTAGCTTTTTACTAACAAATACCAAACGATTCCCTATAAAATACACTATAATTTGATCATTATGATATCAAATAATTATATAATATATATGTGAAATGATAAAAATTGGACTAATTGGGTTGGTCGAGGTTGAACCATTGAATAACTTTAAAATACATTATATTTTAGCCACTAAGATATAAAATAATAGCATAATATATATTATGCCAGAGAAAATAGCTTGTTTTAGAATGTCAAACCAATGATGTTCATTTGTTTTACTCGATGGCCAAATCTCGTGTAGGTCAGGCCAATTCAACTCTTTTATTTTATGGTTAACGGTTAGCCCATTAGATACCATGCATTAGTTTATTGTTAATTTTTTTATTTTTAACAATAAAAAGAAGTATTGTTTTTGCCTTTTCATATATATTTTATCACCACGCAGAAATAAAAGGGCTTAATGAAAAAAATTGACACCTGAACCCGTTTAAATCCGCATGTGTACGGTAAGTTGGCCCGTTCCACAGAGGAGAGGAAAAAATTGACACTCCATATTCTATCATTCCTACAAACGCTCCTCGAGCAGAGAATTTTAAATGGGGGAAGAGTTTTTTCCTCCCTGCTATTATATGTTTTTAATTTAAAAAGATACAACTAATATACTTAGTGTGATTGATTATGATTCTTACTTTTCCTTAAAATGGTCATGGTTCGAATCCCACTACTGTGTTTTTTTAATGAATAAAAAAAAGTAATTGTGAAGACCAAAATGTCCTTCCTATTTTCACTCTCGTTGCAGGAAATTTGAAATGGAGCTCCCATTTTTCCCTTTGGTGTATTATATTATGTGTAGATGAGACAATTGTTCGTCTCTAAAAGTCATAAGTGACAACTTATCGTCTCTAGAGATATACTATAAGGTATCGCTCGTAGTCCATGAATAAAGCTTTTATTGACGATTTTTTAACTCAAATTTGATACCTATAGGAACAAAATGTCTACCCTGGAAAAAGAAAAGGGGACGATATATTATCCCTAAATAGGCTCAACACATTCATGAAATTGATTATAGAGGACAATTGTTTGTCCATCAAAATAATGTTTAGGGGACGACTTATTGTCGCTGAAGTTATATCTATAAGGACGACAAGTTGTCTTTCATAGAAAAAAAAAATATGACAACTCGTGAGTATTGGGGACAACTGTCGTCCCTAGTATTAGGGACGACCTAAATTTTTTTCGTCCCCAAAAGAATAGAGGACAAGCGTATAAGGGACGAAACATAGGGCACGACTTAGTCGTCCCCAAAAATAATAGGGACGATTTTGCCTATTTCCGGGAACAACATTCGTCGTCCCTAAACCTCTCTTTTTTTGTAGTGACGATACCGTTTCACAAAACACAATTTTCTACTCTTCCAATCCTGTGTGGTTTCCGTCTCTCTCATTTACCTCGTCTCACATCCCCTCATTCACTTATGGGCTAGTTTGGCCCTGCTGTAACTTTTGCAGAAGCAGCTTCTAACTTTAGCTTTTATAGAAGTAATTTTCAAAAAAAAAAATTGAGTGTTTGGGTGAAAAACTATTAGAAGTGCTTTTTAATATGAGAGGTTGTGTAAAATAACTATAAAAGACTTATAATATAAAATATGAATAAAAATTCTATATGATAAAAAGTAGTCAAAATTGATCTTGTTAGATTTCTTTTATATTATATAATATAATTTTATAATTTATTTTATTTTTAAAATGATATAAATTAAATAAAATTAAAATATTGTAAGGATAATTTTGTATTTTCAAAACAGCTTTTTACAGAAGCTCCAAATCGGAGTTTCTGTTTTTATGTTATACAAAAGCGTTTTTTTTTTTTTTTACTTTTTCAAGATGAGATTTTAGAGATGTTTGATACTGCTTCAGCTTTTGACACCGAAAAACACTTCCACGGGCTCTTATACATTCATGCCCCGCGGCCGCTACATTAGGTTTTATTATTTACCCTTTTACAAAGCAACTAGCCAAGGGTGAAAGGAAACATATACATAAATGATGGGAAAGGTATACATATACAAATAGTTTGATCGACAGACGACTATCAGACCTGAAACGGGTAGGTCTCGTACCTCAGTAAACATCCATCTCCCCATGCTTGACCTCCGGCGTGTTGATAGCAAAACTGGCTCCCCAAGAGGACATGGATGGCATCAGAAATGCAGTCCGTCGCGCCCTCGTCCACCCACCGGTAACCGTAGATAATCAACCTGTCACCCAAGATATTCACGTGCCGGTAACCTGCACCCGGATGGTTATCCCCAACCAATCTGTTGAGCAGAAAATCTACCGAAGCAATCCGCAGATCGTCATTTTGGAAAATATCAGGGTTGCAAAGCCAACTTACGTCGCCCAACGCCGATTGAGTTCTCAGCGACACCACTAACAGAACCGCCACCATCACAATCATCACCTTATTAGATTTCTTCCCTGTCGACGATGATGAACTCATATTTTCTTTATTGTATATTATGGGTAGGCCTACAACAATGCCCATTTTACTTGTTTCATTTATACTTTGACCCATTCGGCAAAACATTCCCGATCCATGCAGAAACGTTCGCAGTACGTACTTTGTTTGTGCTTTGGCTGTCTTCTTGATGATTTCGATTATACCGGAAATAGAAAATTTGGGAGTATCGCCAAAAAAATATTGATTCGTGTAATGTGGAGGGATACGTACGTCTCATGTGCGAGCTGTGACCAAATAGGGGGCGGCGGGGAAAAGATTCGACTACCAAGGCCAAGAGCCTAAGACTTTAGTGACTGAAACATTTACTAATTTATGCACGTTAATTATATGCATAATCCCAATATCTTGTTTGTTTTGTTCGGATTTTAGTTTTAATTAAAAAATTAGATTATTTATATTGTTTTATGTAAGATAATATTCATGAAGATCAGTGGCGTCGCCAGTATTTCATCTAAGATGAGTCCACTTAGAAGAAAAATATACCTGGTAAAATAATTTTTGTTAACTTTGAGAATCATTCATGATATAATCTTATATTGGAAATTTTGGGTTAATTAAAATAGATTAACAGTTGAAAGTATCAAGAATATTACTCTATATACCAAACAATTATTAATGATTTAGTTAGTCGTTCTGTTTCGTATGATGTTCTTTGTAAAAAATCATTAGTATCTATAACTCGAGTTGTCAAGAGAGATTTAATAATAAATCTTACACCAAATAATAATTCATGATTTAGTAGTCATTCGTTTACAAATGATGTTATTTGTCAAGAATCTTTTCGAATCAATAAATTGAGTTGTTGGAAGAGGTTCAATAATATATCTTATACTATTTACTAGCACGCTCCCTCATATAAGAAAGTCAACTTATAGAAAAATGAAGTTTGCACAAATCTGTATACCGTGTACTTAACAAATGAGGTCGCCAAAATTTGAACACAAAATCTTTTGATCGACTATTCTCAATTAAATACGTCCTAAGTTTTTATATAAATTAACTATTGTACCTAATTGAACAATTTTCCTTTCGAGTCAGGGTGGGTCCCCGGACCCACCCTGTTATACTCTCTCTCCGCCACTAATGAAGATAATTATAGAACAAAAGAATTTCAGCCAGTTTTGTTATGATTAGAAGAGGTCAATAATTCTGTTCACACCGGATCGAGTTGTTCCAAGTCGATATTTGAGTGAATCGGATCAGATCGCGTATATTTCGATGGGATTTGTTTCTATAAATTATTTTTTAAGTATGAAGAAAAAATGGACCAAAATTGAATTTGGATTAGACTGAATGGTACCAAATGAACCAAAGATGATTTTAGTGAGCAAGCTGGATTTGCTCATCATCGTATTCCATAGCAGTAGGTAGCTTAAACTTCAAAACAACCTGGAATAGGGGCCACAAATAAACACGAGTCGAAATGCATTCGTTATGTCTTCAATGGCAAACTTGATACCTTTATTACCTTGTCAACAGAACTTAGAGAAATACTTTTTCCATTTTGCTTCTTTGGTGTTACCTCAGAGTCAGATTCATCGTCCGAAATAAAAACGATGACTGAAGCAGGAGTGGGTGGAGTGCTTACACCTTTGGGTATCATTGGTTTCTTTGTTCGAATCACAAATTCGGCGGTCTCCTTCAATGACAGTGAACCTACGATTAATAAATTAACTAGAATGAATTTTAATGGTTAAAGAGCTATTATACATACCGCTGAAGATTAATTATATATACAAGGTTAGGATAAAATGTGGCGCCATATTTTTCCCGCGGAAAAATAGTTAGGGTTTAGTCTAAGGTACATGAACTTGGGATAAACATGGGTAGTTATTAAACCTAAAATTAAAAATATACTTTTTTCGATTGAATAAAAAATTGAGTGCTATTAGTAAATATTTGCTCATATTAATATTTGATACTTCCCCATACACGTAGTACACAGCTAGAGTCAGCTGGCGTTTGGCTTTACTAAGTAAGGTTTTTTATTTTAAATATTTTCGTTATTTCTGAAAATGATAAAGAAATCACTAAGATAAAGAATAGAAAGTTCAACTAGTTCCTACCAAAAATATAAGATATCAAAAATCGAGTTATTAATGGAGATAATTATTAAGTGGCCCATTCAAGCATTAATTCGGCGATCATTCCCAGTAGGGTTTTGTAATCTACATCCTTGGTTCCCCAAAATTTCCAGCAGTGACAATGACGTCGGAGGCAGACCCACCATTGACGTCGGAGGAAGTCCTACTATTGACGTCGGAGTCAGTCCAAGAAAACGCTGGTGCCGGAGCCAGTCACACCACCCATGAAGATAATGTCGCTGATCTCATATTTCTACAGCATGAAGATATTAAAAAAATGAAGTTCGATGATACAGAAGAAGCCTATGATTTCTACATGGACTACGGGTTAGTCAAAGGCTTCGACATCAGAAAATCAGACATTGGTCGTGATAAGAACAAAGTTATGATATGGCGTGACTACGTATGCTCTGGCGAGGGAAAGAGGCGCATGAAGAGCACAGAATGAAAGAGAGAAGCAAGAGGGGAGACCAGATTTAACTGCAGAGCCAAGATGCGTGTTAAACAAGACAATGTCGATGGGAAGTGGTATGTGAACTAGTTTGATGATGTACACACACATGAAACGATCCCGAGAGAATATAGACACTACGTGAAAGGGAAACATCGTATGAGTGATGCAGTCAAATCAGCGATAAATTTTAGAAGAGCTGCAGGTATGAAAACTTCTCAAATTGTGAATCTGGTCGTATCAGAAGCAGGAGGCTACGACAATTTGGGGTATACGAGGAAGGATGCATATAATTATGTGGACAAAGAGAGGAAAGAACAAATCAGTGAAGGTGATGTCGCAACAGCCCTAGCCTACCTGCAAGCTAAATGCAACGCGGACTATCATTTCGTTATTGAACTAAAGAAGGATGACGACGAACAGCTTATTAACATCTTATTGGCCGATAGTATTTCTGTTGTTGATTATGCATGCTTTGGAGAATTACTGTCATTCGATGCTACTTACAAAAGGAACATTTACCAGATGCCAATCGCAACTTTTCGCATTGAGGTTTGCCATGACTATCACTTTTAATTTTTTTTTTTAATATTGGTTTGAAGCTAGGTGAACGTTAATTTTACTCACTTTGTATAAAATATTGTGTCAATCAGGTATGGTACTATTCAACAAAACAGCTTACAACTAATGTTAAAAGGGGCAAAATCTAGTGAGTGCTTCAAGATTGCTTGTGAGGGAATTCAATCATTATGTGAAAAGCTGGACATGGTGGACACTGGCAACGTGGACATACCCGGCATTAATAGACCGAAGGCGAATAAAATTTTGTTGGATCCATTACAGGTCAAAGCTAAAGGTTCGGGGGCTAAAAAATCTAAAAGGAAGAAAGGAGAACCACGATAGTGTAGCAGTTGTGGTGAATGGCGCCACTATAGGACCCGATACCCACATCATGTTGGCTATGTGAAGCCAACCTCAAACGGTGATGCCCCGAATGCTGGTGTTTCGGAAGAAGGTGGCGGTGGCGATGACACTGATGTTGTTCCTCCCACCACTCAAGATCAGTCAGAAACAGTACCGAAGAGAAGGCAAAAGCATTGCAGTAAGTGTGGTTCTACCAATCATAACGCAAGAACATGTACTGGGTCTGGGCCATTAGATAATGAAAATGACGATGATGAAAATAACGATGATGAAAATGACGATGCCGACGATTACGAGCAACCTAGGGTAAGAATAAAATATAATTGTTCGTGTCTACACAATGCAGTTGCATCCAATATTTTTGTACGACTAAAAGTACAAATCTTGAAAAACAAAACAATGTACTTTCCCTCCTCCCACTTTTATACTATACATATGGCAACTTTCCCCTCTTGTATACATTTTCATAGCATGATCATCATGTACGCGTCAGTATAGCACAAAAGAACCACCATATGACGTAGGGTTCCACAACACCTATTATGGAATCGTAACAACATATGATGATTCTTTCGACAATATTCAGACGGCGACTTATTGTCATTGCTCCCCTCCCTGCCTCTAACAAAGACCATGCGTGGAGAGAAAAGAAGAAACAATAAAATGAAGGAGTTAGTTTAACAGTTATGATCTAACAATGACATAATGAAAGGAACTAAGATCTAAAATAATACGCAGTCTCATCATTACCACTGCACCCGAAAATAAAGCATGGGACAGGAGGACGAAGAGGCGGATGGGGTTGATTTTCAAAGTTTCATATTGAGAAGATGGGAGAAAGGGGTCTTTTCAGGGATTGAGAGGAGGAGGAACGAACAACAGCAGGAGATGAGTGCCTCTCGGGTTTCGGAGCATGGTCTCTCCTTCTCTGATCAAAGAATTTATAAATGGACTCATAAAATTACTTTGCCTTTCCAGCCCTTCCCATTTACTGAAAATCACACTCCCAACCGCTGCCTCAGCCTTGGTAACGTCAACACTGGTTATGGGCAAATGCAACTTTCCGAAAACGGCGAAATCTGATTGGGTGACACGCCGTGGCAAGGATTGAAGCTCTTTCACCATTGGATTAAAGGAAAAGTTTAGGAATTGACGGCGGGAGATGGGGATGTTCTTTTAGACTGGCTTTGTAGATTAACTAACTTTTTCGTTTACCAAAATTAATCTACTAATTTGGTATATGTTATTGTAACCCTAAACCCTGAACCCTAAACCCTAATACCCGAACCAATCAATACCATATACTCTACAACAATAACACCTTATACCCTAACCAATTAATACCATATATACTCTAAACCATCAACACCTTGCTACCTACCTTATACCCTAACCTTCAATACCTTAGAGCATCTCCATCCCATTGCTAAAACAACCTTTAGCAATTGCCAAAATCTAGGTGGCAATCCAATTGGCAATTGCAAGGGATGGAGAGGCAATTGCTTATTTAGAAAGATTGCTAAATTAGCAAGTCCTTTAGCAATGCCACATGTGTATATGCTTTCCTTTTTCTTTTTTTTAGTAGTAACTTTTCAATGAAAAAAATGTTTGGATAGATTTAAAAGAGTAGTTGGGCCCACAATAGCAATTGCAAACAAAATTTAGGGATGTAGGTGGTTTGCAATTCTCTTAAGACCATCTCCATCCCCAACTTTTAGCAATTGCTAAAGATGAGGTGGAGCTTAGATGTCACAAACTTAGCAATGGTTAAGAGAAGGCAAAAGCATTGCAGTAAGTGTGGTTCTACCAATCATAATGCAAGAACGTGTACAGGGTGTGGGCCATCCGATGATGAAAATGACGATGACGACGATTACGAGCAACCTAGGGTAAGAATAAAATATCATCGTTCGTGTCTACACAATGCAGTTGCATCCAATATTTTTGTACGACTAAAATCGTCGTTATCGAATTTGCATAAGAGGTCAGTTACCAGAAGTAGCAACCTAATGACCAGAGTTTTGGACACTTGAGTTCTTAGGAATACGTGTGTAAAAGGGCTGCAACTATTTGATCATTGATGTAAACTTGAAGTGAAGATGGAAGTCCTTATCCTATTCGGATTAGGATTATGTGAAGACTGCCACTATCATCTTGAAGCGGCGTAGTTTGGTTTATAAGAAGACTGATGTCTTCTATGGTGTCGTTTTAATGATGTGTCTAATTGGTTTATAAGAAGATTGCTGGTTTATGCGGTGTTGTTTTATTTATGTGCCTCTTTTATTTATATGTCACTTCGATTAAAGAATTTATAAATGGACTCATAAAATTACTTTGCCTTTCCAGCCCTTCCCATTTACTGAAAATCACACTCCCTACCGCTGCCTCGGCCTTGGTGACGTCAGCACTGGTTATGGGCAAATGCGACTTTCCGAAAATGGCGAAATCTGATTGGGTTACACGCCGCGACAAGGATTGAAGCTCTTTCACCATCGGATTAAAGGAAAAGTTTAGGAATTGACGGCGGGAGATGGGGATGTGCTTTTAGATTGGCTTTGTAGATTAACTAACTTTTTCGTTTACCAAAATTTATCTACTGATTTGGTAATGTTATTGTGACCCTAAGCCCTGAACCCTAAACCCTAAGGGCGATAAGGGCCCACTTTAGAAATTGCTTATTGATTGTCACCATCTCCATCCCCAACTTTTAGCAATTGCTAAAGATTAGGTGGAGCTTAGATGGCAAAAACTTGGAAAAAATCCCACTGTACACACGTTCTTAAAAAAATTCCCAAAATACATGAGTTATAAAAAAATTTCCCAAAGTACACATGTTTGACCATCACCGTTTTAGACAAAGGCGGAGAAGGTCATCACCGCGTTTGAAGAACACGGTGAATACTTCACCGTTTCAAAATAAAACGGTGAAGGGTTCACCGCGTTTGTTAAGAACGGTGAACGCCTCACCGTTTTGGTCAAAAACGGTGATCATTTCCCAAGTTTCCCACCCCTGGTAGGTCAAAATTAGGTCGCAGCTACCACCTATTCACCGTTTGAGACAAACGCGGTGATGGTGTTCACCGTTTTCGACAAAAACGGTGAATAGTAGGCAGATTTTTCTATAAATAGCACACCAGCAGCAGTTGTAAAAACATAACCACTCCCCTTTCTTCAAATTTCAGCAGCCAAAATCGAGCATAATACACAAAACAGAAATTTTTCGGTATGTTGAGACTTTTCGTATTATAGTCTAATTATGTTTTTAGTAGTTATAGTATGATTTAATTTTCGTATTATGTTGTTGTTAGTTAGTTGAACTTATGTTCGTTAGTTATAGTATGATTTAATTTTCGTATTATGTTGTTGTTAGTTAGTTGCATTTATTTTCGTTAGTTATGGTATGATTTAATATTAGTTGTACAATATGATTTTGGTTAATTTTACTGTCTTTAAGCTAATAGATACTTATTGTAAATTGTAGTTATGGGTAAATTCAAGAAGTTTCATCTTACTATTCGGTGGAATGGAAGGGTGACAAACTCTGACATAGGCATTGATTATGAGGACGGCGAATCCATTATGCTGAAAATTGAATCCCGATTCAATTTTCAAGAACTCTGTGATCTTTGTGCAGAAAGGGTTTGTACGAGCGGACAGACGAGACTTGGCAAAATTACTTACCGGTATCCAGACATGAGTGCTGGCGGGGTCGTGTTCCAAGAATTTGTCATAAACGATGATGACGCGGTGGTGATGATGTTACAGTTCCTAAGCGATAACCAAGTCCGGCTTGCAGAGGTGTATGTTGAGACCGAGGCGCTCGGTGAATCTCATTCTCACCAGTATTCTTATGATGATGGTTTTGCAGGAGGGTACGAATGGGGTGGTAGTTCGAGCAACTACCAAGGCGGTGGTTATACAGGAGGTTACGGGGAGGGTGGTGGTTCAATCAACTACGGTGGATGGAGTAGTGCAGGATGGGACCAATACTCGCAACCTCCTAAACCAGCCCCATTTGTTGAGGCCGATGGTGTTCAATGGCCTGCTTGGGGGCCAGAGTGGTATGGAATCGAGAATACCATTCGATCAGGGCGTACTTCACATGAGCGAGAGGACGATGTTGGTGATCGTGGTCATGTTGATCCTTCTAGCCCGAGCTATCCATTCGAGTCCAGCGACGAGGATACTGAGGAAGATTTGATATCAGTGAGCGAGGAGGAGGGCTTAGATTTGTAAGGGACGGGAACTTAGCGGGACGGGGGCTTTAGGGTCAAACTC